TCCAAGGTCGTCACCTCACATCATGCTTATATGCTTGTCGCATGGCTGGGTTAGTTGCATGTTTGCACACTTAGGTCATGTTGCATGTTTGCCATGCTTATGTGTTGCATTGCTTGGATTAAGTGTTAATCCGAGCACGAGGAACGAGGGGCATTTCATACTTCAAGTGATGGAACGTGTCTCAATTCTCGGTCGCCGAAGCTCTTGATGATTTATGATAGAGTTCTAGGCTTTACTTGCTTTATTTGTGCATTCATTTTCATATTGATTTGCATAAGTTGGATCTTTGGCCATCATGCATCGGGATGCGTGATTGATGGTCGTGGATCCGACTAGGCCTCTCCCTTGATGTTTTGAGGTGATTTGGAGTGCCATGGTGCGTACATGTCCTTGGGAAACCCTCCCTTTTCTTTATTTTGTGCTTCGTTGCAGTTTGGTGTCACAGTACACCAGCGGCCGGCAGCTTGCCATTGATGGCCGGTAGTGTGCCACCCTTGGCCGGCAATGGACCATCTTTGGCCGGCAGATCTCCTTTCCTGGCCGGTAGGCCACTGGTGACTTCCCCTGCAGTGTTTTGGTAAGGTCCAGCAACAAGCACTAGAAGACACAAACAGAGCCTCTAAAGAGCAACCGGAAGGCCTTCCAAAGCGAGGAACCAAAGCGAGCATGCATGCCTCCTTTCTTCAAACAGAGATGGAATAGCACCGTTTACTGCTTTCCCGCTTTGATATCTTGCTTAGAACATTTATTTCCTATTCATTGTTGCATGGAACATGCATTTCACTTTGTGGCATAGAATATGCATTTCACATGTGTTATAAGTTGTGTAATAATTAGTTGTAGCTAGTTATTCAATTTGGTTCTGTAATAATTAATTAGCTTGTGAGTTAGTTAATTAGGTGGCTTGTATTATTTATTCGGTCCCTTCGAGTGAGGGCAAATTTGTAATAAGTGTGGGTGCGTGTGTGCATGTCTTCCAACCCCATTTCTTTCTCCCTTTTATTTAACCGCTTATAATGGTTAGATTTATGGCATATTTCAATTAGCATACCTTATGCTATGCATGCGTGCATTTATTCATCTGTATTGCATGCACCAGGCTCGGCGCATCATACTAACTGCATAGTATTTCAAATCTAACTTGAATACGTGTTATCTGTTGCATTTCACATGCCGTCCTAGCATTAGCCGAGCCTATTCGAGACTGCATTTTGTATGCGATACATTAGGCACTTAACATGGACTTGGATCATGCATGATTGCTAACGAGTTCTCTGTTTTGGTGCGGAGTACGATGTAAGTATTTATGCTTTAGCATCTCACATGAGTGTGAATGTTAACATGACAACATGCTTACCATGTGGCTATATGCTTATGTGATAAACTGCCTGAATGCCTGTGGGTGAAGGTTAGATTGCTTGAATTGGGACAATTCATTGAAATCTGTATTTTAGCCTACTTGCGAGTAGCAAACTTCAAACCATTTCCAAACAAACGGATATGCAATGCTTTGTTCCAAATTAGGCAATCTAGTCTATACTTGTTTTGCTGCCCGCATCACATAGTAATTCCAGGCTAATTAACTGGAATAAGAACGCATGTGTTTTCAAAAACTAGATATCATGGTTAGTAGAGGCCGATCTTTGATCGGGCGAGAGGGGGTGCTCATAGCTGACCTTTCCCCAATCATACCCAAGTTCCCGAGCCGAGGTAACTTTGGTAATGACCGACACGTGGCCTTAGGCAACGAGTCAGGGTTTCCTAAATTCCCCAAAATAAAATATTTAGGTGGCGACTCTGTATCTGGCAAAACAGTCCATGTTTGGCACTTCTTTTCTAAAAATCTATTTTCTCAAAATGATTTGTCGGATTTGGACTCTTTGGTTCAAGATTTAGAACTGTGACAAATCGAGTCCGAACTATGGCACGTAATTCGAGGCCCGAGGGCGCGTCCACAAGGGGCTAAATATCAAATGGGTCGGATCCAAGCCTTGAGCCGACCCAATCCATTAGACTCAAGACCTAAGAAGTAGGATAAGCAAATGGGCCGGTCAGATTAGCCCAACTACATCGTCAACAATCCACCCAAATCCTCAAGCACTTGGGCCCAACCTATAGTGGAAAGGTCAGTCCAGCCATGACGCTAGGTTGGGCCGAGCCGCAGGACCTGACCCTTGGACCAAACCCAAAAAGGGCCGAGCCCACACAAAGACATCATACTGGGCCAGCCCATCTCTACAAGCAATCTCATAGAAGGCCGAGCTGAGGCATAACAATGCCGAGCCAAAGGAACACACCAGAGAAATGTAGAAGCTGTGAGTATATGCATGTGCAAGTTGCCACCTCAGCTGATCCTCTACACTTAGAATCATGGAAACAGTTAATCAAAGGAATGTGGTTTGTTATCAGCATGACTACAATCCACCAGATGGTCCCCTACCCTGGGCAATGCTAAAAGAAAACTTGGCAGCACTAGAGCTCCATGAAACCATCTTAGGCAACAAGCAAGGAGTTCAATATAAACTACATTGACTTCACATTGAAGGTAACTGATCTAAGCTAAACCCTACTCACTGAAACTTAACTCTCTGCACTTAGAGAGCACCTTGCTTCTTCTCCGATTACTCATTCCCACACCGGAGGGGTCATTCGGCCAACCCCAGTCGGGCAGCTCTAACGGTGCTCCTTGTTACAGGGCCTCAATTCCTAGATAGTCCAATCAAGTGCGGAGCTCCGATCCACAATTATCTAGTGCGATATTTGGTACGCACAATTGGTGCGGTGAGCGTGGATTGCTTTGTCTTCAAGTTCTGCACTTGGTTCTGGTGATGGGGATTGAGGACATCCCACCTTCGACACAGACTCCACAGACGGAGAAGACAAAAGACAAAGGACAAAGGACAAAGGCTTGGCATTCCCAACAGTCCTAAAAGAACAAACCGAAAACAATAACCGGACCCCCGAATCTGTTGAGCATCGATTGCCCTTCACTGAAGGTTCTTCTCATCATTTTCTACGGAGAAGGATTACAGGGATCGAATCATAGACTCCATGGGATTGGAGATATAGGAGTTGAAAGCGTAACTAAAAAGGGTGATGGGTGATATGACGAAGAAGAAGATTGATGCAGAGTCCTTTCGCCTACGAGAGAAGCCCATCCCGAGAACCACTAGTGAAGAAGATCCCTATAAATGAGTCTGGGCAGCAGAGCCAGTAGGGATGGCAATTTGAAACCGAACCGACGGGGATCCCCGATCCCGACCCCGATTTAAGCGGTTTTTTCCCGAAAAATACCCCCGACGGGGAGGGGACGGTATTTGAAAATCAATCCCCGATCTGTTTCGGGCCGGGGACGGTGATCAGTGTTCAACCCCCGGGCCGGCCCCGGCCTCGTCCCCGCCCCCGTCCTCGACTCCATCCCTGAATTTCTCCAAAATTAAATTACTTTTATACCCCTTATATATATATATATATAATAAATCAAACCCTAAACCCGTGCGTCACTCTCACTCTCGTCCTTCTCTCTCTCTCAACTCTCGTCATTCTCTCTCTCTCTCTCAACTCTCTCCCTCTCACAGCAGTCGCGTCTCGTTCTTCTATGTCTCTCACAGCACAGCCACCGTCGATCTCACCCTCAACTCTCATTCTCACTCTTACCGACACTCCTTCCTCACCGCTGCTGTGCTCCCTCACCGCCGATCGTCCCAGATCTGGAAGATGGAGATCATGAAGATGAAGATCTGGAAGATGGACATGATGATCTGTGCTCCCCACCGCCGATTGAAACAGATTTGAAGATGGACAGATCTGGTTCAAATTCATATGTTTATGTTTATGTATATATTTTTTAAAGATATATATATATATATATGTATATATGAATCTATTCAATGCAACAGATTGAAATTCATATATATATATATATATATGTTTATGTATATATAGATTCATATATACAGGTTCAGATTTTTTAATTTTTTGTTTAAGTTTTTTTTTTAAGTTGATGATGATTGATGATAATAGACTGGCAGTGAGGGGTTGGGTGTATATATAGATTCATATATGTTTATGTTTATGTTTATGTATATATATATTTTTAAGTTGGTGATTGAAATTCACATATATATATGTTTATGTATATACAGATTGCTGTTTTTGTGTTTATCAAAAAAAAAACGAACAGGTTGGGGATTTTCGGGGTCGGGGAAACCCGAACCCCGATCGGGGGCGGGGGCGGAGGCGGGGGTGGGGGGGCCGATAGGGTCCCCGTCGGGGATCGGGGCCGGGGACGGGGAATTTCTCACTATCGGGGATCGGGGATGGAGAGGGTGGTCTCCGGGCCCTCCCCGCCCCGCCCCGTTGCTATTCCTAAGAGCCAGCCAATCTCGGTACAAAGTGAGGCGGCGAGCAGCCACACCCGTGGCTTACGTCGGAGAAGGGCTAAGAGGCAGAAGACAGCTAGCTAGCAGACAGAGTACCTTCCTCAAGACCTTCGTACTTGGTTGATTGGCAACAAGCAAAATGAGCAACGTCGAGATCACCTTGATTGTACCATCCACCAGAAAGACCACCGAGCGTTGGATAGGCTCGTCTTTTTCCCATTCTCCCCGAAAATAGAGGCCATAAGACCTCCTAAGAAATTTACCCCACCAAAGTTCACGTCATACGATGGAAAGTCAGACCCGTTTACGCACATCAGCCATTACAGACAGATGATGTCCCTATGGAGCCGAGACGAAGCATTGATGTGCAGAGTCTTCCTATCCAGCTTGGGAGAATTCAGACTTCGATGGTTCGATCATCTCCCCACTGGATCGATTTACAACTGGAAGCAGCTCTCCGAAGAGTTCTTGGCCAGATTCATCTCAAACACTAAGATCCCGAAAGAGCCGGATATACTGTTCGGTTTCTGAAAGGAACAGAAAGAAACGCTACGCAATTATGCTAGGAGGTATTGGGAAGAGTACAATGACCTGGAGGAAAATGTTTGCAGCGAATAGATGGCTGTGATGTCTTTTAAACATGGTCTGCGCTCGGAAAGTAAGCTAAAACGGTCACTTACCAAGCGCCCGGCCACAGCACTGAAAGATTTGCGTGCCAGGATTGAGCAGTACGCTCGCCTCGAAGATGACCAAATCCCCATCAAGGTAGCATTAACTGAACAAACAGCTCGGCACAAGAAGAGAATGGACCGAGGGGAACAACGAGGACTCACGATGAATGAAGTAGACAAGTCCAAATCTCACGAAGCAGTCGTGACCGTAATCAAAGAACCAATCTATCGTATTTTGGAAAAGATCAAGAGAGAGCCATTCTTTATTTGGCTGCCGAAAATGTTGGGAGATCCAGCTCGGCGTAATCAGAAGCTCAGATGCACCTATCACCAAGACAGGGGGCACATGACTCAGAATTGCAGAGCACTAAAGCAACACCTGGAAGACTTGGTAGCAGCTAGACACCTCCGAGACTACATTGATCAGGACAAAGCAGTGGCTGAACAGGGGAACCCTCCACCAGAACCGAATATTGAGCACCCTCATCGGCTGGTAATAAATATAATCCATGGAACGACTACCCAAGAGCACGAAGAGGCACTGAAAGAAGAAATTGCCAAAGCTGTGCAAATTTAGCAGGTCATGTCAGTAGGGCCCACGTCGAAAAAGATACGCACAGTGCCCAAGTCCCCCTTGTGCGTTGTTCATTTACTAGATAGGATTTAGAAGGCATTTAACACCCACACACTGATGCACTGATTATAACTGTGGGAATTGGGAAACGATTTGACGTAAAACGAGTCCTGGTAGATTAGGGTAGTACAGTAGATATATTGTATTACGACTTGTTCAGGAAGCTCGGTCTCTCTGAGTAGCACCTCACCCCAACGGTAGCTCCATTGGTCGGCTTCAATTCACAGCCTGAATGGCCACTTGGCAGGATAGTGTTGCCAGTTGTGGCTGGAACGAAGACCCTGCAGATAGAATTTCTAGTTATTAATACACCTTCTCCTTACAACGCCACATTTGGTCAGATCCAATCCATTAGACTTAAGACCTAAGATGAAATGGGTCAGATCCAAGCCTTGGGCCGGTCCAATCCATTAGACTTAAGACCTAAGAAGCAGGATAAGCAAATGGGCCGGTTAGATTAGCCCAACTACATTGTCAACAATCCACCCAAATCCTCAAGCACTTGGGCCCAACCTGTAGTGGAAAGGTCAGTCCAGCCATGACGCTGGGCTGGGCCGAGCCGTAGGACCTGACCCTTGGACCAAACCCAAAAGGGGTGGAGCACACACAAAGACATCATACTGGACTGGCCCATCTCTACAAGCAATCTCATAGAAGGCCGAGCTGAGGCACAACAATGCCGAGCCAAAGGAACACACTAGAGAAACGTGGAAGCTGTGAGTATATGCATGTGCAAGTTGCCACCTTAGTTGGTCCCCTACACCTAGAATCACGGAAACAGTTAATCAAAGGAATGTGGTTTGTTATCAGCATGACTACAATATACTAGATGGTCCCTTACCCTGGGCAATGCTAAAAGGAAACTTAGCAGTACCAGAGCTCCATGAAACCATCTTAGGCAACAAGCTAGGAGTTTAATATAAACTACATTGGCTTCACATTGAAGGTAACTGATCTAAGATAAACCCTACTCACTGAAACTTAACTCTCTGCACTTAGAGAGCACCTTGCTTATTCTCTGATTACTCATTCCCACATCGGAGGGGTCATCCGGCCAACCCCGGCCGGGCAGCTCCTTGTTGTAGGGCCTTAATTCCTGGATAGTCCAATCAAGTGCGGAGCTCTGATCCACAATCATCTAGTGTAGTATTTGGTACGCACAGGCACTTTGTCAGATTTTGACACTAGTGATGGTACTGGTGAGGCATTGTTGCAACTGATGTTCAAAGGATATCCACATAATCCCTTGTTTCCTTGAAAGGAAGTGTCTGAAAATGTTTGAATTTGAGAGCTTGTTGGCATCATTCCGACTAATTGATTATATGACAGGTTCAAGAATGAAAGAAATGTAAGGCTTGGAAGTTGCATTGTGATACTCCCACTTAGCCTGTTCTGTGAAAGGTCTAATGATCCAAGCTATGCCAAGTTCCCAAATTGATGATGGAATTGGACCCGTGAGGGCATTGTGCGATGCATTAAGAACATAGAGAGATTTGAGATCCCCAGCTGTATTTGGTATCACCCCTTGGAAATTGTTGTTCGAGATATCAATGAAAGTAAAAATAGTTAAAATCTTCACTAGCTCGATCTCCATCCTTTTATTGTTGAGTGCCATTGTATCTTGATACTAGAAGCCAATTAGTTTTAGGAACTCAAACTGCAGGTCACTGAATTTGATTTTGCATTATCAGCAGCCATCATTGCTTTCCAATGTAAGAAGGTTTGACTTGGTAGATCATCACTGAAGTTATTTGAAGCGAGGTCAATGATTTGAAGCTAGGTCAATGATTTGAAGCTTTGGCCAGAAATTATGGTTTGGTCGACAATTGCAAATGCCTTCGTGGAACTTGTTGGATCGCAAAACTAATACATGCAAGCTAAATGAGTTCCCCAAGAAGCACGGGAAGCTATCATTTATGTTGTTGTTACCAAAATTTAAAACCTCTAACACTGTGCAATTGGCAAGAGATTTGCGAACCTACCATTCCAAATGATTTCTACTGATGTATAGTGTCTCTGAAGCACAACTTTTCAGAAATGTCCTCAAGATCTTACGACCAAGATTGTTATTTCTCAAATTAGCACCCTAAGAGTCTCAGTACTCCTTTCAATCAAGCACAGAGGTATTGTGCCACTGAAATTATTATTGGATAAATCAAGAACATTGAGGAAGCTTGCGTTGCATATTGATTCAGGGATGGTTCCTGTGAGCAAATTACTTGAAGAGAGAAGAAATAAGCAAAGGTAAGCTTGTGCCAATTTTAGCAGGTATAGAAGAGTTGAAATGATTGCTAGAGTAATCCAAATACGTAACAAACTCTGGTGGTATTGGAATTTCCCTATGAAGTTGGTTAGAATGCAGGTCAAGGATAAAAAGACTAGGAAATTTATATGGTTTTTCCAAATCTACTAGGAGATTATGAGAGACGTTCAGCTGCATCAGAGATCCAATTTTACAAATCCAGTTTGGTATTCTCCCTGAAATTTGGTTGGCTGAGAGTTCCAAAATAATCATTCTTGATTGGTTCTGTAGCTTAGGAAATCTTCGCAGCTTGCAAGAAGCCATTTTTAATATGCGGAGCTGGGGAAAGGAAGACAAGCTAGACTCACTGTCACTTGCATTAATTGACAAGATATTGTATGAAAGCTTAAGTCTTGTGAGATTTTGGAGCCTCTGGATCATTTCTAGCTGCATGGTGCCACTGAAGTTGTTGAAGGAAAGCATGAGGACATTTAGACTTCGAAGTTCAAAGAAAGATGAGTGAATTGATCCTTGTAATTTGTTTCTACTCAAATCCGATGTATCCAATGAAGGCAAGGATTCCTTAGAAAATTCAATAACTGGACCATCATATTGCCTTATTGGTTATTGCAAAGCTGAATTTTTTGCAGCAATTGTAGTGAAAACAAAGACAAACGAACATTCCTATTGCATGGATTGTATGCTAAATTAATATTTAGAAGATTTGAAAGGCCTTGAAAGTGAGTGGAAGGGAACATGACCTTTTAGAGCATTATAAGATTGGTCTATGTATGTGATATTCTTGGACATCTGAAAGGATGGGATTGTACCAGTAAAATTGTTGTATGATAAGTCCAAATATGGAAGTTGAGTAAGGTTTGCAATGGAATTTGGAATTAGTCCACTGAAATTGCATCTTGAAAGCTCGATTCTAGACAACACTCTTAGATTACCAACAAAATCTGGTGATGTCCCAAAAAAAGTTGTGTTGCTAAGCAACAGGGTGTGAAGGGATCCATTTGGAGGAAACTGTGGTAAAAGCCCCTGAAGATAACTACTTTCTGACAAGTCAAGGACCTTTAACGTTGATACTTGGAATATCTTTTCCGGAACCTTTCCATATAAGTTGGAAAAGCAGAGATGCAAGGATCTCAAATTCGGCAAGTCTGCAAAGATCTCCCAAACTAGAGCAGATAGATTGTTCTGACTCAGTCGGATGTTAGAATGAAACTGAAGCTTTTGAAGAGAAGAATCAATAGGGCCTGAAAGATAGCAATTGGATAAGCTCAAGATTTGCAGATAAGGCAGTGAACACGAAATGGCCTCACACTATTGGCTACCCTGGGTTGAAATATTTACCCCGTCAAGTAAGAGTTGTTTAAGGCCCGTGAGGTTTTGAACAAGGGTTAGTAAATTTGGGTTTTCAAGTTTCAGGGAAGGAACTCTGGAGAAGTACAGAGTAGACAGATCAAGAGTAACCAAATTTGTCATGTATAACAATTAAATTGGAATTTGCCCAGCAACATTTGCATTTGACAAATTCAGGTATGTCAGTCTGGTATGTTTGCTGAAACCTGGTGGAATTTGTGTGAAGGTGAAGTTATTGTGAGCCCAATTCAGGTTTTGAAGAAACTAGAGGCTGAAAAGAATACTCGAGTGGTTGATTCCACCGGATATTGACTTTCTGTTCAGGTCTAGACCAGTGAAATGACCTGCTTTGTCGCAAGTCACACCCTTCTAACTACAGCAATCGTTTGTTTGAGTTCAATTTAGCAACTTGACAGAAACTGCTCAATTGAATGTGAGGCTGTTCTTCAATTGGAGCAACAATGAGCTCTGATCATTGAGGCCTTGGCTGTGTACTGGAACAGTACTAATGCAGAAGATCAAGAGAATAGTGAACAGAGAAAAGCCAAGCAAAGAATGCAATTCTCATGTTTAAAGGTATTGTGAAGCACAAGCACAATGGAAATGAAATGAATAGCTTAAGCTGGGAGTGGTGAATTTTGTATGCTAGAGAAATCCAACAACTTGTCCATCTCTTGGCATTCTGTACAAGGTTGTATGAATAATTTTCAAATACACACAATGACTCGCAAACTACATGCTTATTCGGTCAAGCACAGGTTGAAAGGAGAAAATATGACATCTTCTTTCTGCAGTTTTCAAAAACTTTTGCCCCACCTGTTTGTGAATAAGGAAAACATTGCCTTTTTTGTACAAACTATGAACAACATGTAACAGTGGCAAAACATTTTCTGAGACTGGGGTTTCTACTTTCATCAGTATATGCTTCGATTTGTTTGTTTATTTTTGGGAAGTGGTTTGTGTAGCATTTTCTGAGCTAAGCATTTCCTTTAAAAAAATTTACTAGGATAGACTAGAAAGAGCTTTTTTTTATTTTTTTTTTTAATTTTTGAATAATATGGTTAAGTTGTTGTTGTTGTTGTTTTTTTTTTTGCAGCCTCTCTTGGTAAAATAAGCTAACCTAAACTTATGGATTGTCAAATATGTTGGAAAAATGGTGTAAGATAGGCTTATTTTGGGCCATCTTTGAGCCCAAAATAAAATTGAGTGGGCCCCGAATGTCTTTTGGGGCGGGTCCGAAGAGGTGACGTGTTCCTTGCCACATGGCAAGTCACACAGTAAATACGGTTCGTCAAAACCATTTATGAGTGAATGGGAAGTTGACGTCGTTTTCGGGTTTGTGGAATAGGAAATTTAAGGAAGTAAATGTAGGTTTTCTTGAAATAGGTTGTCCCACATTGAAATTTTAAGTGAGCTTTTTTGTGTATATAAGCTCTAGACTACAACACTTGGGTTGGGCCCCAAGCCCAAGTTTGTAGAAGGGAGGAGTTATGGACAAAATGAATCTTAGCCCAAACCACCACGCGCGCCGCTGCCGTCCGTCCGTCCGTCCGGTCGAGCCATGCTGGGCGTGAGTGTGGGTTGTGGGTCGGTTCTAATATTAATTTTTTGGACAAAAATTTATTTGAATTTTTTCCAATTTCAATTTCAATTTGAAATTTAAATTTAAATTTTTGTTTTCCTCTTCCAAAACTGTTCCAACAATTTTAAAACAAAATTGTTCCAGCAACGGCTATTTTTTTCAAACTGTTTGAACTTTCGGACAGATCCATTTCTAAACTGCCCAGGGAGTTACAGGTTCAAGTCTGGACAGTTTCCAAACTGCCAATCTGTTGAAACAGTTGCAGAACTGTTTGAATTTTGAATCAAATCTGTTCCAAACAGTATCACACTTGTTCACTTCCTCAAAGCACCTGTTCGGGTCAGATTTATTGTCTATAAATACAACCATGATTCCAGCAGTCAAGTATCTGAAAAAATCAGTCTGCAATTTATGCTTTTGCTGTCCAGATTTTATTTAGTGCATTTTTCTTCATTCTAGTTTTAAGAAAAATCAAAGAGAGTATAGAACACAAGGTTTTAGTTCACCGGACAAATTTGTTTGAAGTGATTCTACAAATTTGTGAAGATCATTGTATCCTGGGAGATAGATGCCACTCAACCGTAAGCACCATAGCAGAGCGAATCTGTCTTAAGGACAGAGTGTTTCACACTCGACTTGGTCTTTTATTTTTAATTCGGTTCGATAAATAAATTCGGTACGTTATATATTTATTTTGTTTGATTTAGTTTCAATTTATTTTATTTACACAGAAGATTGATCCAACAAAATATGTCTTACAAGTCACCTGATAATCTTTCTTTTGCTTTTTTCTTCTTCTTTTTGAATAATATGGTTTACCGATGCTACATGACCAACAACTCATCCAACAGTAATACTAACATGAAATTTTTCTTTGGGGAATTACAGCCCAGTGGGCTTTAGCAATTTTTTTTTTTACAAATACATGAAAAAGTTTAAAATTTTAATTATTAATGTTTATAAAGTTTACCACTTATGTGTAATCTTTTTTCTAATTGGGGAAACTACATCCCTACTATACGTATACTGGATTAGTAACTGGTAAAATACCAAAAAAACTACACAAAATCTCAGTGGACTGTTGAAGCTATTAGTGTGATTGATCAGACAAGCAAAATTGAGATGAAAAGGAGGGCGGTGGGCATTTCGGATCCGCTCAGCGCAAGGCAAGGAAAACAAGTCTGAAAGGGCTAGCTAAGGCAAGGCAGCTAGAGCTAAAGGCAAGCGAGGACGAAGAGAGGGAAGAGAAAGAATTCCTGACTGCCCTGTAGCTAATCGAAGGAGTGAAGAAAGCAACAATTAGCGCAGCCGTTTTCTTGTTGCCCAAGCGAAACTTGTTTTCGGCTGACCCCTTGAATTACAAAAATATGGCGGGGTGCAAGTCTACAGTTTTTTTATTCGCACCTCACCACATAATAACTTGCACTCCACATGTTTTTATAAATTTTTTTTTCTATATTCTATTGCACTGTAATTCTCCCTTTCTAATTTAGCATTGAATTTTTATTTCCCCTTTTTCTTTTTCCATACTTTTTGCCGTCAACCTCCAGTCGGTTAGTCTAGCAAAACAATAAATTGAATAATTAACACAAATAAAAAAAAACCCAATTAGTACACATTATTGTGTGTTTGGGAGGGGAAAGATTAGGTATATATTTAACATTTGGCATAGTGCACAAAGTGGTTGTCCCGTGACTTGAACCCATAATCTCAAAGTATTAGGTCAAGATTTTACTATTAAACCAATGGTCACCCCCTCCCAAACAAATGCTATAAATAAAAAAACAGATAATAGAAAATAAATTAGAGTTGAGAACAAAATAACTTGTGAGAATTTAGGAGTCACGTTATCACTGTCCTAAAATTGTTTTTCTTTTCCTCATGAAGGTATTAACGGAGTGAAATAATTTCAAGAACGTGACAGAATTAAATGGGTAATTAAAACAATGTTTGGAACACAATAAGTGATGGAGTAATAATATTTTATTTTTATTAAAAATATTCCAACAGTCTACTAATAGGATTACTAATTCTCTTATTCATTGGTGTTCTCGAAAGAGAATCCTAAAAAAGAACTTGATCATCATGATTGACATTTTTTTTTTCAATCGACTTAACTTGGATCAATAGCATGATGAACCAAAAGGTTTCTAGGACCTATTATTAAGAATTGTGAATTACAATTCTCATTAACAACATTAATCAATAAGGCAACCAAGATCAGAGCCTCCTTCTCTGAGCTGTGTAACCTTTGTTTCCATGATTGCCTCTTCCTAGTTGTTGCATACCAAAATCCTCCAAGGAAGATGATCAACATGTCCATAGTCCCATCTCCTCCATCTCTTGCAGAATACAAGAGACCATATGATGATTCCAAACCCAACCACAAATCCAATTTCAGCACTTATGATATCCCAATCAATCTCAAGCCCAGAATTCAAATGTTTATTTTCTTCAAATGTTGGTAGTGACAAGCCTTCAGCTATGTAGCTTGCATTTAATGGAGGCCTGCATAAGCCTTTATTCCCTTGGAATGAAGCTTCTGTGGATGTTTGGATTTGGTTGCCTCTCGGTATCATCCCCTCTAGTTGATTGAATTAGAGGTTCAAGACTGAAAGGAAAGTGAGGCTTGCAAGCTGTGGAGGGATCTCCCCTATCAGGTTGTTAAGTGAGAGGTCGAGTGATTCAAGTTTTTTCAAGTTTCCGAATGTTGAAGGGACTTGACCTGTGAAGCCATTTTGTGATAAGTTGAGAACATAAAGAGATTTGAGGTCTCCAATCTCCTTCGGTATCTCCCCTTGGAAATTGTTGTATGAGAAGTCGATGCTGGTGAAGACATTCAAAATTGTCGTAAGCTTCATCTGTAGACCTTTGTTTCTCACTGTTACCACATCTTGGTAGTAAAAATGGTTGAGTGATAAAAATTCAAAGCACAGGTGATTAAGCTTGGATGATGCTTCTTCTTCATTGGCCATCATTGTCTTCCAGTTGAAGAAAAATTGTGGCAGCAACTTCCCACTAAAATTGTTGGAAGCAAGGTCAACAATTTGAAGTATTGGCCATGCGGGTTTGATTGCCGGACATCCTATGGATCCGTGAAAATTGGTGGATCGCAATACAAGAACCCGTATACTGGTTGAGTTCATCAACCAGCAGGGAAAGGTACCACTTATCAGATTGTTCCCAAGGTTCAAAACCTCTAGCATTGTGCAGTAAGCCAGAGATTCTGGAACCTCCCTTTCTAAGTGATTGTCACTAAGTTCTAGGGTCTGTAAACCACAATTCTTTGGAACTGTCATTGGAATGCTGGCTCGTAGATTGCTTTTACTTAAATTCGGCACCCTGAGTGTGTCCTTTCATTCTCTGGCATTCCTTCCAATTAAACATCGCGGTATTGTGCCACTAAAAGAATTGTTAGATAAGTCGAGCACTTCAAGGTAAGTAGCATTGCACATTGATTCGGGGATAATTCCAGTGAGGTTATTATCTAAATGAGAGATAAAATAAACAAAGGAGATGAAATTGCCAATATTGGTAGGGATTGAAGAGGAAAATGTATTGCTCAAGTAATCCACATAGAAAATGTATCTCAATGGTGTTGGGATTTCCCCACGGAGTTGGTTAGAATGCAGGTCAAGGACATTGAGACTAGGAATTTCAAAGGGTTCCTAAATCTCCACAAGGAAATTATGGGAAAGATTCAAGTAAAGAAGACTGCCATTACCAACTTCCCAAACCCAATTAGGTATTTCCCCATAAATTTGGTTGTTAGAAAGATCCAAGTGAAACATTAATGATTGGTTCTGTAGATCAGGAAAACTTTGCAACTTGCAGGAAGCCAGTCATAATGAGTAGATCTTGGGGAACAAGGGCAGGCTAGAGTAACTTCCATTTGTTTTGATTGACAAGCCGTTGTCTGAAAGGTCGAGCTGTTTAAGTTGATGGAGGGTCTGGATCATTTCTAGTTACATAATTGCACTAAAGTTGTTGGAAGAAAGATCGAGGATAGTTAAGCTTTTAAGCTCAAAAAATGACATGGGAACAGACCCTTCTAATTTGTTGCTACTCATGTCGAGGAAAGCCAAGAAAGAGGAAGATGCATTTGGAAATTCGGTAATTTGACCTTCAAACTAGTTAAAGGGAAGATCGATTATCTGCAGTGATGAGAGTGTAAACAGAGACAATGGAATATTCCCTTTAAATGAATTGTGGCGTAGATTGATATCTACAAGATTCCTAAGGCCTTCAAAGTGAGTGAAAGGAATACGGCCTGATAAATCATTATGAGAGAGATCTATGTGAAAAAGATTTTTTGGAAATGAAGGGATTGGACTAGTGAACATGTTAAATGACAAATCCAAATTGCCAAGTTGGGTAAGGTTTACCAATGAATTTGAAATTGGTCCGGTGAAATTGCAACTTCCAAGAATTAATAAAGGCAACCCCTCAAGATTACCAATAGCATTTGGTAATTTCCCTGAAAAGTTTGTGTAGCCAAGTAAAAGGGTATGAAAAGAGGTTTGCTGAGGAAATTCAGACAGAGGGCCTTCAAGTAATCCATTGTCTGACAAGTCAAGAGTTTGTAGTGTTAGTACCTTGATGATCTTTTCCAATAATGTTCCAAACAACTGACAATTTCTGAGACGCAGAGAAGTCAAATTTGAGAAATTCACAATGAATTCTGGGATAGGGCCAGACAAATTGTTGTCACTTAATTGAATTACTGAGAGAGACCGGAGCATCTGGAGGGAGGGGTGAAGAGGGCCCGAAAGATGACAGTTGGACAAGCTCAGCACTCTCAAATTTGGCTGTGACAATGAAATGGTCTGGCTCCAATCATCTCCCTGAGCTGATATTTTCGTGCCATCAAGATAGAGTTCTGTGAGCTTTGTAAGGTTCCTAACAAGCATTCTTAGACTCGGCTTCTCAACTTTTAGTCTAGGACTTCCAAGGAAGTAAACCATAGATAGATCGGGCGTAATTAGCCTTGTCAAGCTAGAAATCTCTAGGGGAATTTGACCAACAAAGCCTGAGTTAGAGAAGTTGAGATGAACTAACCTAACAAGCTTTCCCAACCCAGATGGAATTTGGGCAGCATTGAAGGAGTTGTTGGCCAAATTCAAGCTCTGAAGATATTGGAGATCAAAGAGATCGCTCGTGTTGCTAATCCCACTTGATATTGATTCGCTACTGAGGTCAAGACCGATAACATGGCTATCATTGCACGTCACGCCAGCCCAAGAACAGCAATCAGTACTGAATTCCATGACATGAGTTTGGACTTGAGATTGGAGGAGGAAAGGTAAGTGTCAAATGTGAGGCTTTGCTTCAATTTGACCAATGTCAATAGCTCATGGTCAAGGCATTGGTTGTGAACAGGATCTAAATTTATTGAAAGTATGATGATCAGGAAAAGCCATGTAGAGAGTGAGATGTTCATCGAAGGTAGATGTAAGAGGCTCTAGCAAGGTTGAACAAAGAGCTGTGAATATTTTGGCATTGATGTGTGGTGGTGGTGCTATAAATTTTGAAACTACTTGGGGGAATTTTGAAAGAGTAATTGTATTCACACGACATGCTTATGACTAAATATTCAGCTCGAGTTATGAAGTCTTTCATTCGACATAAATTTTGATGTGATATTTGAGTTTAAATCTTCTTGTTACAAATGTAATGTTCCAAACAACTGACAATTTTTGAGACACAAAGAAGTCAAATTTGAGAAATTCGCAATGAATTCGGGGATAGAGCCAGACAAATTGTTGTCACTTAATTGAATTACTAAGAGAGACCGAAGCATCTGGAGGGAGGGGTGAAGAGGGCTCGAAAGATGACAGTTGGACAAGCTCAGCACTCTCAAATTTGGCTGTGACAATGAAATGGTCTGGCACCAATCATCTCCCTGAGCTGATATTGTAAGTTTTCTGAATGATTTCTGTATCATATATTCAATGTGTGAATGTTTACAATCAGACCTCAGATTATATAACCCTAAATCCTAAACCAAAAGGGGGAATACAAATATGCCTCTAATAGGACTCTAACACAATCATACCTAATTTGGAAAATAATAGAAAATACACAATATATTCTCACACCCCTGCTCAAACTCAAGGTGTTTTAGCAGAAAACACTGAGAGTTTGCTAAGAAGAAACTAAAATCGAGTGGTAGTGTGAGTCTTGGTGAAGAAGTCCGCAAGTTGCAAAGCCGAAGGGATGAAAGGAAGCGAGATAGAGGCAGACTGCAGATGTTGGCGAACAAAGTGACAATCAATCTCAATATGTTTCGTCCGCTCATGAAAGACAGTATTGTGGGCAATCTGAACAGCACTGCGATTGTCACAATAGAGAGAGGTCGGAGAAGACTGACAGACACCCAAATCAGACAAGAGACAACGAAGCCAAACAATCTCAGCTGTGGCATGAGCCATAGCACGATACTCAACTTCGGCAGTAGAACGAGCAACGACTAATTGTTTCTTGCTTTTCCAAGAGATTAAGGAATCTCCAAGAAACATACAGAAACCAGATGTAGACTTATGATTAGTAACATCACCAGCCCAATCAGAGTCAGCATAGGCCACCAAGTCTAAAGAGGAAGTAGAGGACAACAATAAGCCTTGAAAGATAGTACCCCTGAGATAGCGAAGAACGCGAACCAAAGTAGCCCAATGGGTAGAGCGAGGAGCAGAAACAAACTGACTAACCACATGAACAGCATAAGCAAGGTCAGGACGAGTGACAGTTAGATAAACTAAACAACCCACAAGCTCGCAATATAAAGTGGGATCATCCAGAGGGACACCATCAGTAGAGTTAAGCTTTACATTAAGCTCAATAAGTATATCAGAAACCTTAGTACCAGTAAGACCAGTACGATGAATGACTTCATTAGCATACTTAGCCTGAGACAGGAAATAGCCCTTGGGAGAAGAAGCAACCTCAATACCAAGAAAATACCGTAATGGACCCAGATCCTTCATTTTGAAGGTGCGAAAGAGATGCTGCTTCACCTCAGAGATAGCAGAAGAGTCCGAGCCAGTGATGATCATATTATCCACATAGAGCAAGAGAGCCACAAAACCAAACGAGGTATGTCGCAGAAATAAAGCAGAGTTGGAAGCAGAAGGATGAAACCCAAGCTCAGTAACAGCAATCTGAAATCGATCATACCAAGCACGAGGAGACTGTTTCAGACCATACAGAGCACGCCGAAGACGACAAACCTATCTAGAGAGATGACGAAGGCCAGGGGGAGGACGCATGTAAACCTCCTCAGTGAGATGACCATTAAGAAAAGCATTCTTCACATCCATCTGATAAAAAGGCCAAGAACGAACAGCAGCGACAGAGATCAAAGTACGGACAATAGTCATTTTGGCAACAGGAGCAAATGTCTCCTCACAATCAATACCATACTCCTGAGAGAAACCTTTGGCAGCCATACGAGCTTTGTAACGCTCAAGAGACCCATCAGAATGAGTCTTGACTTTGTAGACCCATTTACAACCAACCAAGTTCCTACCAGCAGGCAAAGGAACCAGCTACCAAGTACTAGTTTTCTGTAGAGCAGACAACTCATCTTCCATAGCGTAAACCCAATGAGGGTCCTGACATGCCTCTTTGCAAGACTGAGGTTCTGAAAAAGAGTGAATAGCAGACAAAAAAGTACGATAGGAAGCAGAAAAACATGTGTTAGACCAACCTAACCTGTTTGGAGGATGACGCGCTCGAGTAGGATATCGGTGTGCAGCAAAATCAGAGTCGACAGCAGCAGGAGGATCAGCAGTAGGGGTAGAGACAACTGGTGGAGGAGGAGCCTTGTGACGAGAATAAACTAACAACGGAGAAGGAGAACAAGCTGTAGGAGGAGAAGCAGCCAGAGGTGAAGCAGGAGGAGAAGATGAAACAAGCTTAGGAGGAACTGTGGAGATGTACTCATCAGACGGTACCTCATAAAGAAATGGGTCAATGTGAACTAAATCCTCTTTGGAAACTGGAGCAGTGACAGGAGGAAGTTGAAAGCAAGGCAGACGTTCGAGAAAAGAAACATGACGGGAGACATAAAGACGATGGGAAACAGGGTCATAACACCGATAGCCTTTCTGAGTAGGCCTATAACCCAAAAAGACACAAAGGACAGACCAGGCACTAAGTTTGGTCCTATCTTTACGGGGAAGAAGGACAAAACAGGCAGACCCAAACACACGAAGGAGGGAGTAGTTAGGAAGTTGGGAGAACAAAGCCTCATAAGGAGATCGACTAGAAAGAATGGGAGTAGGCATGCGATTGAGAAGAAAAATAGCAGTAAGAACTGTCTCTCCCCAGAACGGAGCCGGAACTGAGGCAGAGAGAATAAGAGACCTAGTTGTCTCAAGGAGATGACGGTGTTTACGCTCAGCCCGACCATTTTGGGCAAGTGTATCTGTACAGGAAGTTTGGTGAATGGTACCCAAATTGGCCAAATTCTCACAAAACTCAGTTTTAAAATATTCCCCACCCAAGTCAAACCGTAACACTTTAATAGTAAACCCAAACTGTGTAGTAACCATAGACTGAAAGGTACGATATATCTGATAGAATTTGGACTTATGAGTCATAAGATAAACCCAAGTGTAACGGGTGCAGTCATCAACAAATGACACATAGTATGCAGAACCCTCTTTGGTGAGAACAGGAGAAGGGTCCCAGACATCAGTATGAACTAAAGAAAATAGTGTATCAGATATAGAAGTGCTTTTACAAAAAGGTAAGGCTGTCATCTTGGCGAGTTTACACCCTTGATATTCAGAAAGTTCACTAGGAGAAACTTTTCCCAAGATACCTGATTGAGCCAAAGACCGTAAGCGGTCAGCAGACAAATGCCCTAATCTAGAATGCCACAAGTAGAAAGGACTGGACAGAGAATCTAACTGAAAAAAAGAAAAGGCAGTCGGAGCGGTTGTCAAAGGCAGATGCAAGCTCTCTACTACATAGAGGTCCCCAACTCTACGACCAGTCCCAACCTGCTGCTTATACATCCAATCCTGCACAGAACAGATAGAAGAGGAAAAGATAACATCAAAACCAGAGGCGTCAAGTTGACTGATAGATAATAAACTGACAGATAATTGAAGAACATAAAGAACAGATGGAATAGAGACAACAGGCATAGCAGACGGTAGGACATACCTAACAGATATAACAGACATACCATACCCATTAGCAGCATTGACAATAATAGGAAAATGAGGAGGAGTACAGTTTTGAAGTAAGGAGAGATGGGGAGTCATATGATGAGAGGCACCAGAGTTAAAAAGCCAGACAGACGAAAAAATACCTGAAGAAGACCCAAACAAACCTGAATGAAGAGAGAAAACAATTGAAGTAGATGGGGATAGCTGGGATTTAGACAATATATGTTGAAGCTGACTAATCTGAGCAGTCAAGGAAGTCAAGTCAGGATTAGGAGTCGGAGCAGATGCAGTAAAATCGGCAGGAGACTGAACAGACAAACATCCATTCTTGGGACAATGGTACTTCCAATGACCCCTTTGATGGCAGTAGGCACACTCATCTGAAGCCAGTGGCCTTTTCTTGGGATTTGTAAAAGATTGAAGTTTATAGGTATCCGACATCAAAATGAACCAAAGTCATAGAATTTTGGGGTCAAATTATAATAAGGAGAAACTGGAGAAGCAAACTGAAAAATACCACTATCCTAGTACTCAGAACACACAGGGAAGAGAGCCAGACTTTAGACGAGAGAGACAGAGTGAGACCAGACCGAGAGCAGACTTTGCACGAAGCTCGTGAGATGCAGAGGTAGCTAACCAGAGTTTTCGGCGACTCAGATAGGTTGCGACGAGGGTTTCTCTTCGTCTGTCTCTGGGTTACGAACCAAAGATACGAACCAGATGATTAGACGAACACAAACGGAAAGGAGGGAGTTACGAGTGGCGACTCAGAGGAATAAAACCAGAGAACTGATTTTCGAGAGACGATCGCAATGAAGAAGTGCACCGATGATCACAACTCAGTGAGATTCTGATGAAGAAGACACCACAGAGACAATTGCTAGGGTTTCGGCTCAGAGACGGCTCTGATACCATGTAAGTTTTCTGAATGATTTCTGTATCATATATTCAATGTGAATGTTTACAATCAGACCTCAGATTATATAACCCTAAATCCTAAACCAAAAGGGAGAATACAAATATGCCTCTAATAGGACTCTAATACAATCATACCTAATTTGGAAAATAATAGAAAATACACAATATATTCT